TTTTCATTTAAAATCATATTTTAACTTTTGATCATAGGGGCTTCAGCACTTACTAGACTCTACAGTTAACTTTTTTTTTTTTTTTTTGGTACAAAGGAGGCCAAGGCCTAAGGGGAATAGGGAAGGAGAATTTGCAAGTGCTGAGGATTGAACCTCAGCCTTGCAGGAATCCACCTCCTAAGAGAGGTGGTGAACCATTTAGGCTAAGCCCTGGGTTTGACTCTAGTGTTACTTGACTAAGTATGTTTTTGCACTACTTTTTAACAATGCTTTGGACTTCTTTATTTCATTCTTTGTTAGTATTTAGGTCAAATTATGAGATTTGCCCCTGTACTCACCTGAAAATGAGAATTTAGTCGTTGTATAATAATTTGAACAAATTTAGTCCCTATGCTTTTCGTATTGTAAAATTTCAATCCAAAGTCTAACAAAGTTATAAAATTACTGTTAAGCTAACGTGGTAATTTTTTAACCAATTGGATAGATGATGTGGCTTTATCTGGCCAAGTGGGTTGCCATGTCAGACTTGACATATTTTGGCAATTTTTCTCTTTTCTTTCTTTTTTTCTCTTTCTTTTGCTTCTTTATTTTCTCCCTCAAACCAGACCTTGGCCCCTAGCCTTCAAAACCCAAAATCCACCCGAGCCGACCCCAACCTAGAATTTGACTGTCACCCCTTTTGTGCTGCACTCTCAGATCCATGGCGGGGGCTGTATCCTTCCTCTCCCCCACTTTGTCCATCATTATCAAATTTTCACTAAAGCCACTTATATTTTCCCCTCTTTCCACTCCAGTCCCCTCCCCTCAATGCCTACCAAGTGTAAAAACTATTTGTGCCCCAAAATGCTCAAAACCCTCATTAAGCCTTTCCCTTATCCCTCTCCTACTAATCCCATAAGCCTCATAGAATCCCTGCCCGAAACTAAACCCCTTGATGTTGCCATTTTCGAGCCTTCCTCTGATGAAGTGCCAAACCAAGTTTTAGAAGAAACTAAGAATTTTGGGTTTCTAAGACATCTAGTGCTGCTAGAGAAAACAGTGGCAGTTTTGGTAAAATTCAGCTTATTCTGTCTTAAAATTTGGGTTTTATTTTGTGGGGATTTTTGTGTTTCAGACTTTAATCACTGTTTGGTTTGAGAGCATTTCACTTGCAATTGCTCAATCACAAATCAAGAATTATGTAGGGGTCCACCACTTATAAGTGTGGACTCCACATAATATTTTGGTGGATCCTACATAACTTTAAATGCTGATTGGTTAATTGTAGTACAATTATTGTAGGTGATATGCTTCCATTTGGGTGATGGGTAATGGCAATTCTCAAGGTAAAGATGTGAACTTGGATGGTTTTTAGAGGAATTATAGAAGTAAAAATGGGAAGTTTTCAAATAATGGAAAAGTTGGATTGAGTTCAGGAAATGTGTTTTATTGGCATTCTGAATCGGAAGAAAAAGTCAAAGAAATTAGAGCAATGGCTAGGAAAGCATGAAAAATGGAGCAAACAGAAATGAGGAGTGGTGATGAGGAAGTGATGTGGTTGACGAAAGTTTGAATTCTAAGGCGAGAATTGGGATTGAAAAGGAGATTGGTGCTAGATTGAATAAGTTGGAGAAGATATTGAATCCTAGCAGAGAGAACTTTCAAGGGTTGCATATGAGTTTTTTGGATAAGTTAAAAGGATGATGAGGATGCAAAAGAGATTAATAAAACATTGTTCACAAAGAAGTTTAAATTCAAAGAGCTTGAATTCAAGAAGTGGTGTGAAAGGTTTTCCTGGTTTAATGAAGGGTTGTGCATTGAGTGGGTTTTGGAGGCTAGGGGGTTGGCTCGGGTGAATTCTGGGTTTTGGAGGCTGAGGGTCGGGTTTGAGGAAGAAAGAAAGAAAAAGAACAAGCAAAAAGAGAAAAAAATTGCCAAAAAAATGTCGGATCTGAAGTGGTAGTTCATATGGCTAGATAAAGCCATGTCAGCTATCCACATGGCTAAAATTGCCATATCAGCAAGTTAACGGTAATTTTGTAATTTTGTTAGACTTTAGATAGATTTTACAATCCGAAAAGTACAGGGACAACTTTGTTTAAATTATTATATAGGGACTAAATTCATTTTTTATGGAGGGGGGGGGGGGGGGGTTGCAGGGACCAATCTCATAATTTGACTTAGTATTTAACTTCCACAAGTATTTATTTTAGAGCTATCCTTTGTCTTGTTAAACGATGCTTGTATGTAGTTCCACTATAGCCAAGAATTGAAACTTGTGCATTTTTTTTTCTCTTTTATGGGGAAGACAAGAGTGGCTTAGGCTGTAGGATGATTACCATTTATTTCCCTAGATTTTAGGTCTTACATTGTGCCTGAGAAGAGGAAATCAAAAATCTAGGAAAGACTTGTTTATAAATTCTATAATTCTGTTTTATGTCAGGAGCCTTGAATTATTCTTCTTCAAGTCTCTAACCACCTAGTTTTCTAATTTTTCTTTTTGGTAGCGAAAGAGCACTGTTTAGTGCTGGGACTTCTTCAAAAAATTGAAAGAAAGAAATCCAAAGAAAAGATAACGAGGTTGATAATATTCAATAAAATCTGATAATGAAACTAATAAAAGTATAAAACTATTGTCCACCTGGTTGGTTTTACGAGGAATCTTTAACAATTAATTTGTCCCTGCTAATGTTTGGAAAGAAATTCTTAATGTGGTATGCCACTGTAATTTACATTTTTAGGTTAATCAATCATTTTTTTTGCTGCTATCACTCTTCTGTTGGGTCTTTTACTGAGGCTTAGTTACTCTATATATCTATTTTACTTTCAGAAATCCTTGGTCATGCGCATAAGGATAGCTTATAAGATGAACAATAAAGATGTTTTGGAAGAAGGACAAATCAATAATTTTCCTTGCGATTTATGAGGTTGATTGATCCACAGAGATGTTGAAGATATTCACGTACCACCTTTTTTTCCTTTTTTCTTTTTTTTTTCCCCTTTTTTTCCTCTTTTATCTCTGGAAAACTTCTTCTGACCATTTGTAATGATAGGTCAATATTTTGTTTCAATTCTTGTATCCTTGGGGGGCAGTATAATGTGTAGCAAATGGAATGAGATTTTGCTGGGGTTTGTGTTGTGTTGAATGGGTCACGCACACTATTCTTCACAAAAGTTCTCCTCTTAGGTGATTTTATGTATATTATATTTTACAGAATTGTGGGAATTGAATTTTGAATTAGGCACAATGAGAAATTTGTTATAATTTGGAATGCATACAAGGTCTGCTGTTCTTTCAATTTAAGCAAGGATTTATTTATGAACTCACATATTATTCAAGGGATGTAGTGCCTTTATATTTTTCTGGTAAAGCCAAATTATTTCTAATAAATTTTCATAACATGGCATTTACATAATTGAATGACTTTTTATTTTATTGTATTTTTAATTTGAGGGAAGAATGCAGTGAGCATTTCAAAGAAAATTAAATTCTAATAGCAATTGGAATTAGGAGTCCAATTCATCAACAGTCCATGTGCTATTGCCTATCGGGGCTGTTTTGTTTTAATAGCAATTTGCACATGGGGATGGGATGGTCTTGTCTCCCCAAAGCATGCACCAGAAGCGCATATGCCACCCCTAAGAACACTGACTTGAACTTCAAGTCTAAAATACTAGTGCCATACAGATTTCAATTCAATTTTACTACTAATTTAAATCCATTTTTGTTAATAAATGAACATAGGAAAGCTTGGATTCTTCCACCAAAGCTCAGTAACCCATGCTTGTTTTCGGTCCTACGATATCTGTTTCTCTATGCAACCCTTGAACTTGAAAAAGACCGATGATAGCAGGCTTGAGCTTGGATTGCTATGTTTTGACATGTGTGCCTCTCTCTCACACATATGGAGTTGTTATTTTTATGATCTCTTAGCTTACAAAATCCCTTGTGCGTGCCAGTCAGTCATGCATCACTTTGTTTGACTTTTGGCTCACTTGCGGTCATCTTACTCCTGCTCCTGCACTTCACGACTTGTGCGCCGGTCTCACATGGTTATGAAATGATGTATGGGGGAACAAAACAATAATCACACACAAACAGTTTGGTCTTCTCAAATCATCACTAAAACTGTTCTGTTCTTGGTGTTATGTGTATGGAAGATAACTTCTTTTACAACGGAATGAATTTTCCCTGTTGTGTAAAAGTATCAGAATTAAAAATACTTTCAAGTTTAAATGATGCTTCAAGCATGTTACCATCTTACCATGTTATGCTTTACATGAGCATTTTAATTATGTATTAAGCTTGGGGATCAGGGCTTTAATTTGATTGAGAGAATACTCTTATGACCCCACAATCCACTGACTTATGTCTGATGTCAACTTCTACACAAAAGAGTCCTTCAAAGCACTTTTTAGGGATCCCACCACCCTCATCAGTCGTCAAACAAAGCACAAAAAGGTTCCTATAAGAAGATCAAAGAGAATTTATCGTAGCAAAAAAAAAAAACAAGGAAAAAAAAAAAAGCACCTAGAGATGCTCATAGAACAGTGATTCTTATCTTTCCTTTTCTGTTTTATGCACTTTTGTGTATATTGTTGCAGAGAGAGAGAGAGAGAGAGAGAGAGAGAGAGAGAGAGAGAGAGAGAGTAAATACTAGAAATCACTTTATCAACATTTCCATATGTGCAGTTCACAGGCTGAAAACCAAGGTTTTAAAGATTAGGCATTATACTAAATAGACCAAGGACATTGCCACTTGTTTGTAACCCAAAAAGGGACATTGCCACTTGCCATAAAGTAATAATTTTTTTTTTGAACAATTTTAAAGGTAAGAACATCAAAGAAGCATATTTCAAAGAGGTTGCATAATAGTAAAGAATCAATTTCTTTGAAAGAAAAGAGATAGTAAAAGCTAAAAGGAAAAGCTTTAATAAATAGATTCATTGAATATTATAATATAGAATATAATGAAGTACAAAGGAACACTAAATACTTTCAAGTAAACTGAGTTCTGCTACAATGATTCATGGCAAACCAACAGTTACAGATGAAGAGCCTATAGTATCTGAAGAACTTGGGAATTTACCCTTCTTAGACCATTGCCAGATCTTGGAAACAGAAAAGCTTTCATCTTTACTTCTAATGTTAATTTTCTTTCCCTCTACATCCCCATCATTTGCTGAATTCCCATTTTGTCCAATTGTCCCTTTCACAAGCTTCATAGCATTAGCATTGCCTCCTCTACAGGGGCATAGAGCTACTTGTAAATCTGAATCAGCAACCACATATTGGTATGACCCCAGTGAGTAACATCTCCTTGCATCCAAATTACTACTACTCGTCTCTCCCTCTCCTCTTAATACACCTTCTCCTTCTACTTCTCTTCCATTATTCAAACTTCTAAATTTGCCTAGCCTGATAGAAAACACCCTCTTTCCAATGTCATTCTCTGCTGGTTTGGGGCCAAGCGACACCCCCGTTCCTCCATTGCTTGATAACATATTTTCTTGCCTAGGATATTCGAAGTCAAACACTGCGTTTTCAATTGGAAGCCCAGGTGTGAAAAGGGTCCCTCTACAGAGAGGGCAAGTAGAATTAGACATCAACCATGTGTCTATACAGTCTATGTGAAAAGCATGACTGCACATAGGAAGTAATCTCAATTTGTCTTGTTCCAAGAATTCACATAGACAAATTGCGCAATCAAACGGCTGTTTCAACCCCATTATTTCCTTATAAAGAAACACAGGCAGAGCATCTATAAAAGCTTGATCCACACCTGAATCGTGAAGATTGAAGAGTTGTTGCAACTGTCGTTGGAAAGCATCAGACCCTGACATTTCTGGGTATCTGTTAGATTCGGATACTGATGAGGGAGACCTATGCTTCATGAGAAATCTAACAAGCAAGTGAAGAAGGCCAGATATGAAAAATAAAACAGCGAGAATAACTATGATGAACAAAACAGCTGGGCTTATTTTACTACCTGAAGATGATGATGATGATGGAGGGTTTGGTTGCTTTTGGTAATCACTATTGTACGGCAATGAAGGAGAGGAAGAAGAAAGTAGAGAGTGAGGATGGTAACCCAAAGGACCGTTGTTTAGCTTGATTTGAGATTGTATCCAAGACATTTTAGGAAATAGGCATGCTAGAAACACCTGTTTCTGCAATCTTCTTGGATCAAACTAACTGTAGTCACCTATATGGAATCTCGGAAAGCCATATCCTCTTGCTTCCTTTTAGATTCATTAAACCCAACTCATAAACTAATATGAACAAGCAATGGGCACATTATTTCTTAAAACCACAACAACCCCAGCTCAGTTTTGCCAATAATGGGTGCCAAAAATCTAACCTTGACTAAGATTTACAATTAAGAGGATTGCTTAGGTAGAAGACTTGGTAATAAAAAAAAAAAAGAAACTACCTTGTAATTCGTGTAACAAGAACACAAGCAAACACTCTTCTATAACACTTTTAACTGAGTCAAAGGTTTAAGTTTACCTACCTCATAAACTGGAAAAATCTGCCATCATGGAACCCCGTATTAATAATAAGTGGATGCAGTGCATTTTGCATTAAGCCCCGTTTGGGAAAGCTTTGCATGTTGAGTGTACAGTAAAATTTTTATTTACAGTATTGTTATAGTGACTTGCTATAATAGTTTAGGTAGCAGGTCTTTATCTTCTATCTGTTACAGTGACTGCTACAAAAATTTTTGTCTAAAACAGTAACTGTTACAATACAACTGATCTTTGGCTTCGAACATCTTTATCTTTTTCTATTGATAGCTTAGATCAGCTAATTCCAACTTGAAATTTCTACAGGATATTTTGAGTTAAAAGTATCTTTTTGAATATTCTTCATCCAATTTTTGATATTCAAAAATATATCTTTTATAGAAATCATCAAGATTTTGAATATCGTATAATTTTAATTTTGAAATGAAAAATTGGGCTTCTTGGTTGGGATCCAAAGATTCTATACTCTCGCAAAATTCATTTTTTTAAATCTGGGTTAGATCTTTTAATAATTGAGATATGTTACCTGCTACAAGAAGTAAGCTTTTCTAAGTATTTCCTAGAGTGGTTTTTTCCCATTTTTTGAGAAATTGAAGGACATCACCTTGCCATTTCCCGTAGAAGTAATTAAGGAATCTTTCTTTGTTCCACTGATCTTTGTAACCTGTGACAACGATAGACATGGATTGTGCCCAATCATTTATGATTTTTTCATAATCTTTGATAGGTACACGAGTTAGGTCTAAATAAGTGCCATATTGTGCAACTGTTCATTTGTTTAACGAATCGATTATAGGAACTTTTGGTTTGATTTGACTGGTTTAGCTAGATTCTGAAGTTTGTTTTATCTTATCCTTTTTTAGGTGAGCTTTATGTTAAGCTAATTCTCCAGGAGAATGTAAATAATCAAGAAAACGAAGAAAATCATCCATATTTGGGTTAGATATTTTTTATGTTTTTTTTTTCCTCTATCCTCTGGTTGAGAAATAGGGTTTTGAGGTTCTGGATCTGGTTGATCATCAGAACTAGAAGAATCATTTGATGTGGTTTCATCTGATGAAACTTATTCATTCTTTACTACTGGGTTAGTAGCTAAAATTTCAAAATTGTATTCTACCATGTCATTATTTGCTTCTTCACTACTTACATTGGTTGTGTAATAGTTTAGCATATAATGATAGTTATATTTTTGAAAAAGTCCTTTGTGTTCTTCATAAAGGGTTTCAATAGCTTGAAAATAGTCGATCTGTTGTTTCGAATATTTAGTTTTCTCCATTTTATACTTAAAATTTTTAATTAAATATTTATAAGAGTCAAAATCAAGTTTTTCTTGTTTCGCCTTTGCTGAGGAAGATGAAAGGTTGTCATCAGCCATCATAATATTACCATAATAAAGAGGTCCAAAGTCTGTAGATATATCTAGAGGAACATGTCTTTGGTCCTTCTTTTCTACAAGCAAATCTATTTTATCTACTATATTATCCATTTTTACAAACAACTTAGTGAAAAAAAAAAGAAAAAAGATCAATTAAACCATTTACAACTCTACTAATAGACATATTATTAGATTCAAACTTAGGATCTATATGCAAACTATGATTATAAACTTGATATTTACAAATACAATTATTTTTTGAAGTTGATTCCATGTTTTTGGTGCTTAAGACCGGTGTGATTCTGTATAAGTTACCAAAGGTCAGTCAACAACAAGGCATACAAAGCTCAACAATTACTAGTAAATAATCACAGATTCACAGTATAAGCTTTGATACCATTTACAGGATGTGAAAAGGATCAAACATAAATAGTAAAAAACTAAAAGAAAATAGTTAATATACAAGGATTGGAGGATGGTCTGAAAGAGAGAGGAAGGTAAGTAAAGAAGAAAAGGGATAAGAATGATCGAAGAGCCTCCCCTCTGCTGATTACAATGAAGGCTTAAATAAACAAATACATGAATAGTAACTATGTACAGTTTGTCGCTACAGTGTACAGTAAAATTTTATCTACAGTACTGCTACAGTGACTTGCTATCATAATTTAGGTAGCAGATCTCTGTCTTTTATCTGCTACAGTGACTGCTATAAGATTTTTTTATCAAGAATAGTAACTGCTACAGTACAATTGGTCTTTGGCTCCAAATATCTTTGTTTTTTTATGTTGGCAACTTGGATCGGCTAATTTTTGCTTAAAATTTCTACAAGATATTCTGAGTTAGAATTATCATTCCATTGCATTATCCAGATTTTAGAGTTCTACATCTTCTTCATCCAGAGTTTGGTGAGAATGTGGTGAGTTAGATTTAGATTAATCTCACATTTTCCATCTTTCTTGATATTGAAAGAGTATTTCTTGTGGATGATCTATATTTTTCACTAAGATAGGTTTTGAAAAAGTTCTAGTGCTTCTGGATCAATATCTTTGATTGGCATATCATATGGTCCATAATAAGTATGAACAATAATTCATCTTCCATCTATCCAGACTATGGCTTTGAGAAAACTTGTTCTGGTGGCTAAAATAAATATTGAGATTTCTCCATCATTTCTATTCTTATTTGGAATTGGTATTGAGTAGAATTGAGGAATTTGGTAACAATTTTGTTTAGATTTTTTGGGTTTTCTAGGCCATTTGTGGCTGGATTTAAGAGATGTTCAAAGAGGCATTTTTGAAATTTTCAGATTTGGTAAGGTTGGAAAAATCTTTCTCTTTTAAAGGTTCCAATAAAGCTGGTTACAGTAAAAATGATTACTGTTTTTTACAGTTTGATGGATATGGTATTTAATAAAGGTAGGAAAATCTTTGATCAAATCAAAAAAAAGTTTTGTACAAGGATTTGACCAACTAAATCGAATTCAATACTTGTTATATCGAAAGGTTCATGGTTGAGATGAAATTTGATTTTTGGAATTTGATTTTGAAATTTGGTCTCCTGTAGTAGTATGAATATATAGAGTATAATAATATTCAAAAAAAAATTTTTGACTAATAGTTTTTCTGTAGTTTGTTGAATAAAAAGATTTATTTGTTGAAACAGTTCTTTATTAGGAAGACTGTGATTTTTTCGAACAAAAAAAATTCTCTTAAGCTTGTTTAAATGAAGAGAATTATAATTTTCAAAATATTCACATAAACTTATGAAATTGTTTATTTCTTGGATACCGTATTGATTTTCTTCCAAAGCAAAGAAATTAATATCTTTCTGTTTTAGCATATTAGTTGAAAGAAGGCTTTAAAAAGCTGTTTCTTTAAACTTTTGAATTTCATTAGCTTGTTTGACTAGAAATTCAGCTAGTTTGGTCATCTTTTTTCGAAAGCTAGATTTGTTTTATGAGAGATGAGATTTCCAAACATTGTTTAGTAAATTATAGACTCGTGGTTCAAGTCCAATATTTTAAAAATCTTTAATCTCTGGATTAGAGAGCTTTATTTTTTCTAGCAATTTTTTTACTGAAGAGACTATTTGAGAGTAACTCATCAGAGTCCATTCATTTGGATCTTGAGCTAATTGAGAGAATTTTGGTTGAATCCTCAAAGGAGATAGCATATATGGCGGTCTAAAATTTTGGGGTTGATAAAAAAAAATCCTTGGTTAGGATCATTGTAAAAACCAAATCCTGGGATAGGATTTGTAAGAAAAGTAAGATCTTGGATAAGAAGAAGTAGAAGAAGAAGAAAAAGAGGATTTTTTTACCTATTTTCTTTTCTATGGTTTTCCATTCTCTTGGGTCATGGATATGTTGTTTTCCTTAATTCATATGGTCTGCTTAGGTAATCTACAAGGAGGTTTTTGTTGTTGTTGATGAATTCTACCTGAAATTATATTGACAAAAAAAATTATATCACCTAATTTGTTTGAGATTTTCAGAGAGCTTTTTGTTTTGGAGGAAGTCCCGTACTGCTTGATTATCTGTTTTGATAACAAAGATCTTAAGGGCTAAATAGATGTGAAATTATTGTACACTATTTTTTATGGCTAGTAATTCTTTTTCATAAATAATATAATTTGTTTCGTTTGGTTTAAATTTTTTAGAATTATATCAACATATCAATTCATCCTTTTGATGAAAATTTTTTGCTTTAAGGACACATCCCCAATATTTTTCACTGGCATCTGTCTCTAATATCAATAAATCTCCCTGTTTAAAAAGATAAACTTTAAGAATATAAGTTAACTATGATTTGATTTGTTTAATAATATCAGAGTTTGTTGTTGTCCAGAAAAAATAATTGTCTTTGCATAATTTACGTAAAAAAAGACTTTCTTTTTTAGAAAATTTTTTGAAAAATTGTCTATCATAATTTAATAAACCTAAAAATTGTTGAAGTTGTTTAATATTATCCAGTTCTTTTGGAAACTCCTTGATCTTCGATATGATATGATTTTACAATGTTAATCCATTAGCAGATAGATTAAGACTAAGAAATTCAATTTCTGTTTTTTCAAGTTCAGCTTTTTTGAGACTTAAAATAATACAATGTAAAATAAATTCTTGAGCAATAATATTCAGGTGTTTTCTGTGCTTATCTAATGTAGAAGAAAAAAATAAGTATATCATCAATATAAATACAACAAAATTATTTATGTTTGGTGAAAATAGTGTCCATCCAATGCTGAAAAAATTATGGTGTATTACATAGATCAAAAGGCATAACAGTCCATTGGTAATGGCCTGTTAGTGCACTAAAAGTAGTTAAAGGTTTAGATTCAAGTTTAAGCATGATTTGCAAAAACCAGACTTACAATCAAATTTAAAAAAATATTTAGCATTTTTTGCTAAATTTATCAAGACATCTTTACGAGAAATAAAATAGCCATCAAAGACAAGATTTTGATTTAATCTCTTATAATTGATA